TTGGCTGCACTTGTTATGTACATATCCCAAGTGTCCAAAGACATAAATTTGAACCAAAATCCCACAAGTGTATCTTCCTTGGTTATTCCCCCACACAGAAGGGTTACTGTTGTTTTGATCCGAAGACTGGCACTCGGTATGTCTCAATGGATATCACCTTTGATGAGTTTTGTTGAGTCTCTTCCTCCTTCAAATGAGTCAAGGGAGGATCAGTCGCTTCACTCTCATTCCAGTGTTCCTAATCCTCCTCCTTTACCTCCTCGCCCTCTTTTTAATCTCGGGTTGTACCAACGGTAGAGAACCATAAATGAGCAGATTGTTTCCCCTMCAACACATGAGCCTCATGCACTTCCAGTTATAGATGAGACAAATGGTACTGTTACAGCCCCTTTGGAGCCATCCTTCCCAGACCTTGATATCCCCATTGCTATTAGGAAAGGAAAAATGAAATGTACTGCACATTGCATTTCCAAACACCTTTCTTATAGTTTGCTCTCCCCTTCATATTTTGCCTACCTTTCTTTTGTTGCTTCTAACCCAATTCCCAGGTCTGTGTCAGAAGCTCTTACTATTCCAGAATGGAGGGATGCTATGAGAACAGAAATTGATGCCCTGCACAAGAATGACACTTGGGAAGTGGTTGATTTGCCTGAAGGGAAGGATCCAGTAGGCTRTAAGTGGGTTTTTACTATCAAATATCATGTTGATGGCACCATTGAAAGGTACAAGGCTAGGCTGGTTGCAAAAGGCTATACACAGACATATGGCATTGATTATCTGGAGACCTTTGCCCATGTTGCTAAGATGACTTCTGTGAGAGCTCTGCTATCTTTGGCTGCACACTCAGACTGGCCACTTTATCAACTGGATGTAAAGAATGCATTTCTGAATGGAGAGTTTCATGAAGAGGTCTATATGTCTCTTCCTCTAGGGATGTATGAAATAGATATGAAAAGAAAGGTCTGCAGGCTGAAGAAATCTCTTTATGGACTCAAACAGTCCCCTAGAGCATGGTTTGAAAGGTTTAGGGCTGCCCTTGTTAGCTTTGGCTATGTACAGACACAATCTGATCATACCCTCTTTGTGAAGAGGAGAGGATCCTTGGCCGTTTACTTGATTGTGTATGTTGATGATATTGTTGTGATTGGTAATGATGTCTCAAGGATTAATGATCTCAAACATTTCCTTCATACAGAGTTTGAGATTAAAGATCTGGGGGAATTGAGATACTTTCTTGGCGTAGAAGTTGCTAGATCCAAGGATGGGATCCTTATCTCTCAGAGAAAGTATGTTCTTCATTTGCTCTCTGAAACATGGAAGATGGGTGTTAGACTAGTTGCTACTCCTATCGATATGAGCCATAAACTCTCTGCTTCAGATGGAATATWGTTAGAAGATAAGGGAGTCTTCTAGAGACTACTTGGAAAACTTCTTTATCCATGCATGACTCGGTCGGACATTGCACATGCTATCAGTTGCATCAGTCAGTTCATGCATGCTCCCAGGGATACACACATGGCAGCAGCAAAGCGGATTCTGTGTTATTTGAAGGGCTGCCCTGGAAAGGGAATTCTATTTGCTAAGCATGGCCATATGAAACTTGAAGCCTACATAGATGCTGATTGGGCCAGAAACATGATGACAGAAGATCTACCTCTGGGTACTGTAGCTTGGTGGCAAGTAATATTGTCTCTTGGAGAAG